TATTAGTAGAGCACAAAAAATTAATCCATACAAAGTACTGTAAGCACATGGTACTTTAAATTTTTTGCAGTGGCCCTGGGGCACCGTTATCTGCTCTTTTCTGGGAAATCACTCATCATGTAGCTAGTGGGGAAAGGGAGCACTTTGGCCCCCTTTCTGGGAGCAATCCAATGCAGTATGGATATTAATTAAATTTATTAAACAAATAACACAGCGACTCGGGGAGGTAGGGGTCCATCTGCCAGCTCTGCAGACAGATCTCTGCAGAGACGCGAGCTGAATGGTAGTTAAAGCGAAGTTGCCGAGCTCAGCAGATGGGCTCTTGTCTCCAGTGGGGGAGATTTGGTGGCGGTCCAACAACTCTTTTCCCCCTCCAGGTTTTTGTTCCTTGCAACTGTGATGGAAGAAGCCCTTCTCTGTCTTTTTCCCAGCCTTGTGCCTCTCTCCCCCACCCCACCCCCCTTTGTTTATGTGAGCAATGTTTAAATCTGAGTGATTTGTTAGAGAGGCAAGTCCCGGCTGATCTCATTTTGTGTATGTGCTGTAAAGCTCAAGCAGAAAATAATTAGGAAAATGTAATCCCATTGACTTTACACCCCACTTGTGTACATTGCAGCAGCTCAGCCTGCTGCCCTGGAATAACGTCTCTAGACAGATTTGAATGTTTCAGCATCCCTGTTCTCCGCACTTGAAGTTCATATTCCTCTTGAGGTTCCGGTGCTTATTATTCTTAAAATGGGCCCTTAGGTGGCTTTTAGACCTCTGCGACTTTTAAACCATGTGATTCAAGGATTCTTGTTTGTTTGTTTGTTTGTTTTCCCACTGCTCCCAAATGTCTTCATGTTCTGTTGGCAAGTGTCTAGGTGCCTTAAATCCCAGTGTCTCTTTCACTTGCCATCTGGGACGAAATGTCATTGACAGTGTTACATCAGCACATTTGTGATCTGCTCTGTTTTGTAGAAACCCAAACTATCTTCCCTTCCCACCCACATCTTTGCTCACTAGAAAAGAGGGCAAATTTGAAACCTTTCTGCATTGAAAGACCACTAGTAGGTTATTGCTTCTTAGCATTTGGTATCGTTTTTTGAGCAAAGCCCACTTGTGTAGAATTCAATGACAGGATGGTGACTCATCCCTTCTCCCCACCTGAATCTTTACAGAAATGATTTTGTAGAAGGAGCTCTCCTCTCTGGCTACATCTCCTCACCTGGGACCAACAGCTCTCACAGGGGAGCCATCGAAACCCTGCTAGGCAGATGGTGTGTTCTATTGATGGCAAAGTTTTGGACTACATAGATCCCACCTTGGGCTGAGTCCTGAAATGCCCTTGCCTTGGAGAGAGAGGTCTGGTTCCAGCCAACCTGCGAGTGGACATATTTGAAGAGATAAAAGCACCTCTATGGAATAGAAACTCTTCCAATTGGAATGGATTCCCTCCCTCCCCGTAAAACCTACCATTCTCTGCCAGCAGAAGTCTCAGCTGGTTGTGGAACCTGAAGAGAGGAATGGACACATCTGGGGTTATGATTCTATCAAGGGCACTGAGTCTTACTGAAATAGGAAGTCAAACATTTAATCCAGCTTGTAAGAAGACACAACCCGGGGCTGGAGGAGTGGCTCAGTGGTAGAACACTTTTTTGGCATGTGTGAGGCACTGGGTTCAATTCTCAGTACCACATATAAATAAATAAAATAAAGGTCCATTGACAATTAAAAAACATTAAAAAAAAAGAAGACCCAACCCATGAATCCATTTACTGAAGCACAAAGAAATCTTAGCTGGCAAGCCTCTGTGCATTGAGAATGTTCAGTTCATTTCTGCTGAACACAAAGGTGTTTAGCTAAGTTCCTCCCTGATGTTGGTTCTTGTTTGTGCTTTCTGGATCCCACTTGAACCCCAAATCTCTTGGGTTTACCAGGAGACAAAATATTTTAGCTCCTGTTGTCATTTGCTGCTCCTTCTGAGTTTCTACCCCACCTCTCCAGGCCATGCTAATAATAATATGGAAAAAAAAAGGCTTCTATTACTATGGAAAATGGTTGGATTCGGTGCAGATTTTTGGTTTTTTTATTAGAACCCTGCCAAAGATCATTGTGAACTCTAGGAGTTATCATTACTCCCCAATCCTTTATGGAATTTAGAATGCTCAGCTCAAAAGATGGTCATGTAGTGGCAGGTGAAAAATGTTTGTTTACCAGTAGATCGTAGGTGGATGGCCAATTTATTTCTCTAATTTGTTGAAAGTCAAAATCTGCCGGGGGCGGTGGGAAGACCGCATTTTGAATTCATAGGCTATTTACCACAGCGTCCGCTTTGCCTCTCTTTCCACCCTGGTGTACCTGGGCTAATTTTTTCCTCTGATTTAAATAGCAATCTAGTTTCTCTGGCATCTCAATTTAAGGGAAGATTGGACGTTGTTTTTCAAAGGGAATTGCAAGTGTTTCACTCTTGTCTGAAAACAGATTGTGGTTTCTTTCCCAAGGATAAGCTTAGAAATTACATATAAATCTCAGGGTTTTATTTGTAGCAAAATGTTTTCAACTCTCTTGTCCACACATTAGTATAAATGAATAAAACAGAGAAGAGGCCAGGAAGCACCCTGACAGACAGTGTGTGCTTGTTTCTGATCAGCTTCTGGAATCTGCCATTCTGCTGAACACATTTTGTTTACTCTAGGGCTTCAGATTGTTTTATTGCAGATTTTGTAGGCAGCGTGACCATTTAGGACTAAATGCATCGAAAAGCTTTTGATTGGGAACAAAACACTCATCTGTGAGGAATAGAAAAGTGGCCTTCAAAATAACAGTTCATTTTGAAATTACCTGATAATGACAGATGTTTTTTAGATGTTGTTTTTACTCATTGGCTTTGATACACTTCTCTTTCAAGAGCTCAAGTGCACATTTTTAAACTATTCAGTGCAAAGCTCCTCCCTTACTTCTTCCTCTCACTCTTCTGATGAGCGTTTTGCAAAGGAACCACATTGGGGAATACCATCACCAGCCTGATGCAGCAATTGTCTCCAGAATTAAACACCGTAGCTCCTCGAGGCAGGCACCTTATTGCCTAGAAGGGGTACTGAACAAGACCAGGCCGATCAGCTTGTGACAGAAAATAGTGCCATTTCATAGCTCAGCTCCTGAGATGAAAAGGAAGGTTTGTAACCGTTGCCCACCTAAATGATCTGACAGTGTGTTTCCGATGTTTCATTCTTATTTCTGGGACCAAGTCTGGTACCTGTTTTTGGATATGCCTTAGAGCTTTTCACAGTCCTGGATACAATAAACATTGATTGATGGTTGATCAATGGTTGATTAGATTTGCATTCCTGGAGCCAAGCAAAATAATCCAGCCCTCTGGGTTTGGCCAATGGCCATTTGAGTTTTCTCTGGTCTTGGAATCCCTTGTCTTTGCATCATTTCAGAAGGTGGCCTTCAATTCTTCTCATCTAGTCTTCTGGGGTCCAGTGACTGAGGCCTCCCAGGAGCTGGCTTGGTTCTTCTGTTCTTACTCTATTAGATTTTAGTGCAAATTCAAATCTTATAGCTGGGAAGGAATTTGTAAGCCAGTTGGCTGAAGCATGATGGGAGGGTCATGCTGCTTGTCCACCTATAACAATTTTTTTGCAATTTTTGATCTTGTAAGTTTTTAAATGTTTTAGATATCAGAAATGTAAACCTTTTGTTAATGAGTAAAAGTTTTAATCAAAAGAGTTCTTTCTAGAAGTGATGATAATGGAATTACACATTAGCTCACTACTGCCTTTATTCCCTTTTCTACACAGTATCTCTTCAAAGATGCATAGATTTAGGGGTAACAAGTCACCATTGCTCGAGCACATACCATGTGCTGGCTCCCGGGCTGAGGATTGCCTGTGTCATGACATTCAATCTTCACAATATATTAATATTCTCATTTTAAAGATGAAGAAATTGACTTTAAGAGATGTCAAGTAGCTTGCCCAAAGTCTAATCAAATCAATCCAAACAAATAAAACCTAAAGTCATATCTAATAGCCAGATGTGAATTTGAAACCGAACAGGATAGCTCTAAAACTCTTCCATCGAGCCACTGTGCTTGATTATATATACTCATTTGTGATCTAAATTTACTTAGATCTGAAAGGAGCTGTGGCCTCTTCAAATAAAAGTGCACCTAAAATAGTATCATTAAAAACCATAATAAGAAGATGAATCATGTGGAGGCCTTCAAGCTTTTAGAGACAGTAATTCCCTCTTGTCTACATTGATACCAAGTCAACGTTGCCAGTTTCTTTAACTTTTCATTCACTATTGGAAGAACGCAGGGCCATAGTTGGTCAACTCTTTGGGGGAAGTGGCCCTGTCTTGTGTCTGCCAGGTTTCTTATTCCTAACAGTTGATGTTGAGTCCGTGTTAAAGGAGTGGATCAGAGCAGATGCAGAAGAATGCACCGGTTTCGTTCAGGCTGCCCGTGCTGAAGCAGGCTCATTCGGAGCAGGTGTTGGGTCAACCAGATGGCAACTGTGACTTGGGACCCCAAGGCAAAAACAGAGTATGGGGGAAGAGAAGCAGTAGGATAAGAGGATATTTATCTTTCTTACCTATTCTTCACTGGGTGCTATTTTGCATTGCCAGTAGACATCACTGTAAGCTACTTGAATTCCTTGTAGAATAAGGCAGGATAAAAAGAAACAGTTGCTTATATAATTACACATACACACACACACACACACAACATAAAATATCAGATTGAATTGCCCTGAGAATGAGATGCATTAGGAAAGAGTGTTTTCATCATCAGAGAGGCTGCTGACCAGATTCACAGCCAAGGTGGTGAGGCACTGAGTTGAGATGGTCAGAAGGGTTAGACTCTCTTCCTGCCAGAGTTGACCCTGCTGGTCTTGGGATGAGCCTTGATTGTTCCAGATTCTCTGGTTTCTTTTATTTTCTTTTTTTAATATTTATTTTTTAGTTATAGTTGGACACAATACCTTTATTTTATTTATTGGTTTTTACAGGGTGCTGAGGATCGAACCCAGGACCTCACACGTGCTAGGTGAGCGCTCTACCGCTGAGCCATGAGCCTTTGCCATGCTGGTAGTTTTCCTCTGGAATGTAAGACAGTCCGCCTTAAGAAGGTAGTGCTGTTGCTACAGACACGCCGAAAGAACAGAAGTGTTGTTGCCTTTTGTTTGTTGAAAACAGTTTTACTTCTGTTCATGCATCTGAAGACTATTAAAAAAAAAAACAAAACAAAAACAGTCACACCTATGACACTGTGTGTTACATTGACCTTGTCATCAGCTCACACTCCTGATTCTCATAGGAAACTTCCCAGCCTCCATTTGTGCAGCTGGCATTTTGCACCTGAATTCAAGACTTAACATGACTCACTCCCATTTTCATAGAGGAGAATCAGACACAGGGAAGCTATGCTCCCTCTTGTCACCTCCTACCTTTTCTCTGTCTTTACCATGGCCTCTTCATTTTTTGTTGTTTACACCAATCTTCAGAGTTTTTTCTCTTCCTATGCTCGTTGACTCCATTGTATCCTTGACCAAGTAGTACTGGGTGATTTATAAAGTACAGAATTTATTTCTCGACCAGGTATGGTGGCATATGCCTGTAATCCCAGGGGCTCAGGAGGCTGAGGCAGGAGGATCGTGAGTTCAAAGCCAGCCTCAGCAATGGCAAGGCACTAAGCAACTCAGTAAGACCCCGTCTCTAAATAAAATACAAAATAGGGCTGGGGATGTGGCTCAGTGGTTGAGTGTCCCTGAGTTCAATCCCCCCCCCCAAAAAAAAAAACCCAAAACCAAAAAACCAAGAAATTTATTTCTAACAGTTCTGGAGGCTGGGAAGTTCAAGATGAAGACCCTGTCAGGTTTCATGTCTATTAAGGGTGCAGTCTCTGCTTCCAAGATGGTGCCTTAAACGCTGTATCCACTAGAAGGGAGGCACACCGTTCTTCACATGATATGAGAGCAGAAGAGCACAGAGAGAGAACATGGTGCTGAGGATCGAACCCAGGACCTCACATGTGCTAGGTGAACGCTCTACCGCGGAGCCATGAGCCTTTGCTCCTAAAAATCCATTTTTAAAAGGCACTAAACCACCTGTCAGGGCAAAGCCCTCCTGGCCTAATCACCTCTTCAGGGTCCTACTTCTTGAATGTAAATTGTGCAGGCATCATTGGAAACAAAAAACTAGAAGTAGAACCATCACAAGATGCAGTAGTCCTTCACTGGGTATAGACCCAAAGGAATTTGCAGTCAGTATCCTGAAGAGACATCTCCATCGCATGTTTATTGTAGCACTATTCACAATAGCAAAGATATGGAATAAACTTAGGTATCCATCAGCGAATGAATAGATTATTCCCAATAGAAAGAGGTGATAAATGTCTGAAGTGATACCTGTGCCAGTTACCCTGATCTGATCCTTACAAATTGTGTATGTGTGTCAAAATGCCACACGGTACCCCATAAATACATACAATTACTGCATGCCAATTAAAAATTAAAATAGATTTTAAGAACCACCGCATCCCCCAGTTCTTATTACTATTTCATGGGAAATTAAATTTCAATGAGTTGTGGAGTAGACAAACATTCAAACCGCAGTAGAGGAGATTTTTCACAGTGGTCTCAGTGTGGAAGTGTCTGCAAAAATACAATAAACAATTTTGTGGGTGACTCTTATTCAATCTTTACACTGAATGGCTGCCTTTTCCTGCATCCTCATGTATTCTGTCGTCAACCTCAGGAGGAGAAGAGGACGATCCCTACAAGGCTGGATCAGAATCCAGCAGCCCAGCTATCACTGTGACCTGGGAAACCCTTGTTTTGTTCTTCCCGGGGAACAGGTGAGGGTTGGCTTGGGGGTAGCACTGGCTGCCCACCTCTTATCACTAACTCTCCCTGGCCATGTTCAGGGTGTCAGTCAAGTGGTGGGTCTGTAGTGTTACAGATAAAAGTTTCCTTTGCTGGAGGCAAATTACATTGCATCAGGAGAGGGGGGTTGGCTTATGGATGGCCCTTCCCCCTCCCCCCCAGCCAGGCTTCTTAACACCAGAAATCTCTCAAGTATCAGAACCTTCTGTTTATAAATAAGGAAACTTTGAGAGATAAGGATGAAAAACTTCTTCCTGTGGACAGCATGTAACACAAGGTAGAAATCTTTTCTTTTTTTTTTTCTTTTTGTAGTCCATAAGTCCCTGTCAATCAGGGCTGGTGACTCAGGGAACAAGAAAGTCTTGACTTGAATAATGGGTGTGGCCCTTTTTGTCTCTGACATCTACGTCCCTCCCAGTTCTTGACAGAGGTCACTGAGTGGCAAAGAGCAGTTTGGGTTCAGTTCTCCAGAACTTCATGACTCCAATTTATTTTATTTGACAAAGAAAAATAGTCTATATTTATTGTGTGCATGCTGTTGTCTTGAAATCAGAACTTCATTATTTCTCATCCTCATCAGTATTCACTCATTCATCCATTCAGCAGATGTTTATTTGGTGAGTGCTTGATAGGATCAGGGCCTGTAATAAAACCCTAACAATGGATTTCTGCCCTCAAAGAGCCCCTGTCTGGAGAAGGAGATGGATGTGAATTAAACAGTCACACTGATAAATATATAATTACAAAAAAGTAGTGAATGATTTGAGAGAGGATGGATAGAGAGACCTCAATACGTCTAATGGTTTCTTGACCATTCAACTAGCCCAACCCTGCATTTGGTAACTATTTGTATAAATAGCTTTAGAGGAGATGCATTTTTCATTGAATGCTCATCTGTGGTGCTCCAATATTTTATCAAGTGCATGTGGCATATTTATCATAAAGGGATTTTAAATAAAAATAAAAGTAGATAATGGGTTGCACTCGTATACTCCTGTCAGAGAGTTCATTAATTTGTTAACTCTTTTGAGATGTCTATTTTTGTCTTTAGCTCATTATAAAGTTTAAGGGACAAACTTAGTTCGTGTGGTCTTTCCATTAAAAATATAGATGTAAATGTGAAAAAAAAAACATACTAATGTTTACGGAATGCTGCATGAACAGCCAGCCTATTTTCTAGCAGTATTTATAGACTAGGTAACACGTTGATTATTGCCATGTTGTTTCTGTGTGTAATCTCAGCCACTTGAAAAACGGCAGGAAGAACTTGTGTTTCCATTGATGTGTGGCCTTTTGTCTTTTGATGTTAAGTTCTAAACCTCAAAAGAGGATTGTGTTTGGCTTCATGTAACAGACAGTGGGCTTCAGTGGTTTGCCTGAATCCGAGTCTATTTTTACTCACAGCCCAGGGATGGTTCCAGACCCCTTATCTTTTCTCTCTGCTGTCTTTGTCTTTGTGCTTTTTGCTTCATGGCCACAATGTGGCTGCTCTTGGTCTCACATCAGAATTCCAGACAGAAGGGAAGAGGGAGGAGTCATGTCTCCTACGTCAGAACTGCAAAGGAGTGAGGAGGAGGGAGGCTTGTGTTCATGAATCAAAAACTTTTCCCTGCTATCTCCAGCAGACTTTGCTTCTCATTGCCAAATATGGGGTGACATGGCTGCCTGTGCCCGCAAGGGAATCTGGAGAATCAAGTCATCCGTTCCAAAAATCAGGATTCTTTCAGCAAGGAAGACTGTGAGAATGGATGTTGGGTAGGCAACGTGTGTCATGAGAGACTTCTAAGTGCTTCTTATCAAGTTCACCAAAACTCTGTAATTGAATAAGACACAGCAAAGGTGTTAGGAAACGCTCATCATTACTAATGTAGCTTCTTTTGTCCAATTTTTTGACCGACCTGATTACTTCCTCATTTTTACCCCATATGGTGGCAGACAAAGAAATTGTAATAGGTAGTACAGAAAAAGTAAGCTCTGCCGTTCTCTTGCGTGTGGCATATTTATGCCTCTACTTATGTTTTTATATGATCTTCAATGCTTACCCCCACCCCAACCTTTTGGAAGGCATCATTTTAAAGCCATTTGTACTTAATATACAATGTATAAAGCTACTTATCCAGGCCCTGCCCAAGGGGGATGCCACTTCCTAGCATGGAATCCCCTTCCCTTAGGACATTCCAGGTTTCTCTATAAGTGTGTCGGCATCAAGCTGTATATTCTATTCTATTAATACTTAACTTCTCTCTTTTTCTTGATGTGAATAAAATAAACTTGAATAGAAGTTCTAGAATTTCCTTCCTTCCTTCCATGCTTCTCATGGATTGAATCATTCTGGATAGCCCTTTGATACACATCCCACACTTTGGAGATTACTGATTTAGAAGGCTGGAAGATTATCTGCACATGGAAGAGGGGATCAACTATTAAGGGCTGATGAGGACCCCAGTCTCTCCTTTCAAGATGGCACCTTGAACTCTCTTTTCCTCACATGGAGGAAGAGAGAGAAAGGTAAAAAGGACCTGAGCTAGTTTCTTCTAACCCTTTAAAAAGGTACCAATGACTTAATCATTCCCAAAAGGTCCTAACTCTTAATACCACCACAATGGGATTAAGTCTCCATGTGGATTTTGGATGGGACACTATCTTTCAAACCATAGCACCCTATCCACTGCTTAACCTCTCTGGTTCTCACTTTGTAATGTAAGGATGTCAGTGCTCATTGTCTAGGGTAATTTGAGGATTAAATGAAATAGTCTATGAAAGAGTATCGTTCAGTTCTTGGAACTTAGTGAGCATTCAATAATGAGTGACAATTAGTTTTTTTCATATTAATGGGTAGGAATAAGGTGTTTGGGTTAGCTTCAATAAGCATGCATAACATTGGGGAACACTGATGATTTCCATTGTGATGGTCAAAACCAGAGTAAAACAAACATGGCCCCTTCCCATCAACTAATATGTCAGCAGGTGTTTCCTTTGTTCCAAGAGTATTAAAACCCCAGCACAGTGAATCCCAACAACGAGTATATCCACAAGACACTAATTTAAAAAAAAAACTATAAATAAATTACAGAAATATTAGTAGAGTAGAAGGAGGGGAACAGGGCAAGGGAAAGGGCAGGAAGTGCTAGGGACTGAATCAGAGCAAATTATATTCCATGCT